ACCGCGAATTTTGAGCTCACTAAATTGAATTTGGAGCTACTTAAGCTTACAAAATTCATGGGTCATTGCCCAGTATTCAATCTCTATATTAGCTCTAGCTACAACTGCTTGTTTTTTAATTCGTCATGTGATAATATGTCCTATCTGGGTGCATTAGCCTTAAGTGGATCTTTTGTCATCTATTAGGCCTGCCCAGTCTGCATCTGTGAATGCTTTTAATTTCAAGAGATCATTATTAGAGAGCAAGATCCTTTTTCCTAGGACTGACTCAAGATACCTCAAAATATGATGAACAACTTCTAGATGAGGAACTCGAGGATCATGTATGAATTGACTTACAACCCCAACTGCATATGCAGTATCGGACCAAGTATGAGAGATATATCAATTTCCCACTAATCTCCGGTATCTCTTCTTATCCACAACTTCGCCAACACCACTCACTAGTTGATAGTGGACTTCAATAGGAGAATCTGTAAGTCAACATTCCAATATACCAGTTTTTTCAAGTAGGTCAAGAATATATTTTCTTTGGGAGATAAAATTATCCTTGTCTAATTTGGTAACCTCGATCACAATATCGCGATGGACTCAAGTCTTTGATTTCAAACTCTTTCGCCAACTAAGCTTTCAGTTTAGTGATTTCAAGCCCATCATTTTCAGTAATCACTATGTCATCTACGTATACAATGAGGACTGCTATTTTGTCATTTACCAGTCTGATGAACATAGGATGATCAACATGACTTTGATTCTATCCAAATTTGAACATCGCTTTGAGAAATCTATCAAACCAGGCTCTGGGTGATTGCTTTAACCCATAGAGTGACTTTTTCAACTTACACACCTTTCCTTCATTTGCTTGAGATGAAAACCAGGTGTAATTTTTATGTATACCTCCTCCTCCAAGTCTCCATGGAGAAAGACATTCTTCACATCCAACTATTGTAAACTTCATCCCAATTTAGTTGTGAAAATATAGATCAACTAATGCAAAGAAAAGAGTGAGAACAAGAGACAATATGTAAGGAACCCTATAATAAGGAAAAGACTAGACTACTTTTAATGATAAATAAATATAATTAATGAATATCAGAATTGAGCATGTCATGATTATTAGAATCACTAGAAGTATCATCAGGGAAGGGGTCGATATATATAAGGTCAGATCTATTGAAGGAGTTAAAAATAAAAGGAATGGAAAAGAAAGGAGTATGCTCAAGAAAGATCACATGCCTAGATATATACAATCTTCGATCATAATAATGATATCTTTTTTGTCCCTCACCATAACCAATAACCAATAAAGATACACATAACAGAACGAGTAGATAACTTATTGTGTTCAAATTTCGGAAGAAGTGTAAAACAAGTACAACCAAAGAGACACAAAGAAAAATAGTTAGGAGGTTTATCACATAACCACTCAAAAGGTGAAATACCAAAAGTAATAATAGAGGGAATCCGATTAATAAGATGAATAGCAATGAGAATAGGCTCTCCCCAAAAGGAAGTGGGAATTGACGCAAATAAGAGCAATGAGCAAGCAGTCTTCATGATGGGTTTGTGTTTTCGCTCAGCCACACCATTCTGTCAGAGACTATTTGAACAAGAGGACTGTTATTACCATCAGATTTTAATAACTCAAGGAAATGATTGTGTCTGTATTGTCAACCCAAATCACAATGAAAACATTTAATGATTGAAGAATATTGTGTATGAATCATAGCACGAAAAGAAGAAAAAATAGAGAAATTCATATCACTGTTTCATGAAATAAATCTAACAATATTGAGTATAATCATCAATAAAAGAAACATAATATTGAGACCCTCTTTTCGTGGCAAATATGGGTAGGACCCAACACATTAGAATGCACAAGATCAAAAGGAGCAGAAGAAGAAGTAGAACTATTCTTAAAATATAAACCTTTGAATTTGACAAGTTTGCAACCACTACAATTAGAAATATCATGACTATTTAAATCACTTAATGCACAAGTAGAAACTAAAAATTTCAAATGAGAATTAGAAATGTGGTCAAGACGAGAATGCCATAAATAAAACTCAAAAGACTTGAGACTCAAATGAAAAGAAGACAAATCAACAGAAAAGCCGCCACAACTGAAACATGCAATTTTTCTAGTACATACAGTCTTCCAACTCTATGATCTGTCCCAATCTGCTTCTTAGAATGAGGATCCTACACAATACAACCACTGGAGAAAAAATGAACAATGAGATCAAGATCACATAGTTGACCAAGGATTGAAACGTTCGAACTGTTCTAAACGTTTCGAAATTTCAACACACCGATACGAAACATGGGTGGAATTCCAAAATTTCAAAGTTTCGGTCGAAACGTCACAGTGTCGGACCGTTTCGGTCGAAACAGTACCGTTTCAACGAAACAATGATCACAAAAATCTCAGAAAGAAAAAAAGCTAAAGATTCGCTTCACTCCAAGCCAAAAGAAAAAAAAAGAAGTAAAATTCAAGGTCATTTTTACCAATTGATGATTGATGAAATTACTTTAGCTAGAGTATGTGTGAACGGGCTAACTCCATATGAGATTGGCGGACAATTACTAGATAATGAGATAGATGGGCTTAAAGAGTACATTAACCAGTTTAAAAAAAAAGTGAAAGATTTATGGAGCGATAATCATGTGTGATAGATGGACATCTACCACAAGATTATCTATTATTAATTTCTTGATATATTGTGATAAAAAAGTTGTCTTCCACAAGTCAATTGATAGTTCTGGCTATGACAAGGATGTTAACTATATTTTGGGGATGATGGATGTTGTTGTTGAGGAGATTGGAGGAAAATGTGGTTCAAATTATTATAGATAATGGCTGTGCGTTCAAAAAAGCTGGTGAAATGTTGATAGAAAGAAGACCACACTTATATTGGACTCCTTGTGCTACCCACTCTCTGAATTTGATTTTATATGATTTTTTCAAAATTGAAACGGTTCAAAATGTATTAGAGCAAATTAAAAGAGTGACCAATTTTATCTATAATCATAATAAAGTCTTGAATATAATGAGAACATTTTGTTCGAGAGAATTGATTCGGTTTGGGCAACAAAATTTGCCCTACAAAGTATTTTAGAATAGAGAAATGGCTTGAAAAGGATGTTTACTTCGGAAGATTGGTTTAGGATTACGGCAACAAAGGATCCAGTTGGAAAGTGAGTTAAAGGGATAATTCTAAATCTTAAGTTTTGAGAGAACGCCAAAAATGTGTTGAATATGCATACACCTATTGCAAGAGTTCTAAGAATGGTGGATGAGGGAAGAAAAGTAACAATGTCATACGTATATGAAACAATGAGATGAGTAAGACAGGCTGTCAAAGACACGACTCCTAAATCGTACAAAAAATATTTTGACATTATTGATGCTTGATAGAAAAAATAAATCATTCAACATATTCGTATGACAGGTAAACTTATTGTTTACCAATTTATATTTTTATTATTGATAAGTGTTATCATTTTGGATGTTATCATTTATAAGTGTTATCACTATTTATATTGTATAGCTTATTACTTGAACCCCACATACTATTATGAAGAAGATGTTGGGGTGTTAGAAAGTTTATTGGATTCGCTTCAGATTGTTGTGTTTAGATTAGATACAAATTCAAACAAGGCTGGTGAAACATTTACAGATGTAATACTTTAGTATTTCAATCTCACTTTACAAATGTGCTAAATTAATATATAACAACAACATATCCATGATATTTAGGTAAAAATATTTCGGAAGACCATATATTGTTTTGCTGACCAAGCTACAATTAGAAGAAGAATAAAAAATGATCCAAGTAATTAAGTAGATTATTTGTACACTTATATTTTGTTCTCATGATTTTTTATTTATATTTTTCTTTAAGGTTTTAATATGTTTCTTATTATTATGCAGTTAAATGGTAGTTTATGTATGACACTGATACTCTAAATTTGAGAAAGATTGCTATGAGAATATTGTTGCAAACAACCTCATCTACTAGTTGTGAGAGAAACTGGAGAACATTTCCTCTCATTCATATTAAAGTGCGGAATCGACTCAATTATCAAAAGTTAGAAAGGTTGGTGTTTGCACAATATAACATGAGGTTGAAGTTAGAGCACCTTATGAAGGACAAAAAAGGGTATGAATTCAGACCTATAGACTTAACCACTGTTTTTGAGAAAGATGAAGGTATTTCAGAGTGGTTAGATGATCTTGGTGATGTACTTTTAGATACACTTGATGATGATGGGCAACTAACAAGACCAAATACTTTCTTGGCAACGTGGGCAAATCGTTTTTTCGATGACGATGGAGGAGTAGGCCTAAGTCTAGGTGTTGTGCCACTACGAAAATCAATATCCAAAATAAGTAGAGAAGGATCAAGTAATGCAATGAATGATGAAAAGTTTGACAGACTAATGAGAGGTCCACCAAGACTTCAGTAACCTATCACTGTCACTAGTAGTACTGAGGATGATCATAATGGTGATGGTAGCAATGATGATGGTGGTGAAAATGATGATGAAGATAGTGGTAGTGGTGGTAGTGGAGATGGTGACAGCAGAGGTGGTGATAGCTTTGGACATAGAGTTGATGGAGGTGGTGGTGATCGAGGTATGGGAAGCCAAAGTCTGAATGTATTGTATTCACTAGAGAGGTAGGATTTACACATACTACACATGATGAAAATCATGGCTCTCGACGAATGCTTTCAATATGAACGACGCTCAAAATCAAGTCGAGATTGTCAATTTAAGCGTACTCAAAATTCGATCACTCCACATGGTATGCGTGCTATTAGGCATGGAGCTGACATGATTAATGATGATTTTTTTACTATGAGTATAAGTGGAAGTGGAAGTGAACATCATAATTATGGTTCGTCGTCTTCATATTGTTATGGTTCTGGACATGGCATTCCCTCATATGATTATGGATTGGAGTATGACACACGATGATACGAATATGGATCCTTAATATGGTTATGGATTTGGCTATGACTCCCAGACATCCTCCTCATATAGACAAGATGAAGGTTGGTCAGGGACTGGCGCATTCGTTTCCTATTAGATTTGATTTTACATGATACTCCCTTGCCTAATCCTACACACTACTGTACTATTGTTGGGAGCTTGTTTCTCCTACTATTGTTCATTGGGCTATTGTTCTCTGAATTCTTCACTATCTTCGAGGTACCCTACATCAGAGTTTATTTCTCTTATTCTACTTAACTCAGAGCTTACTCAGATGTCGATTGGGCTAGCGACTCTATGGATCACAAGTCCACCACTTATTTCTGTCTTTTTCTTGGTGATTCTCTCATTTCTTGAAAGAGTAAGAAGCAAACTGTTCTTGGTCGTTCCTCATCTGAATCGAAATACCACGCTATGGCATCTACTACATCTGAAATAGTCTTGTTACGGTAGCTACTTTGTGATCTTGGTATCTCTTTACCAGCCCTTACTCCTATATATTGTGATATCACCAGTGCTATTCTGATTGTTCACAACTCGGTCTTCCATGAGTGTACAAAACATATTTAGATTGACTACCACTTTGTGTGCCATTATTTTAAGCTGGACACTATATCTCTCCCCTTTCTTTCTTCTACCATGCAGCTAGCAGATTTCTTTACAAAATCCCACACCATCGTACATTTTCATTTTTTTCTTGGCAAACTCTTGATATTCTCGGCTAAAACATCATTAGTTTGAGGGGGGATATTGAAGTATTATAATATATTAGTATTTGGAGTAGTTTAGTCATTTACCTTGTTTTATGTTGCCCTAGTGTATAAGAGTTTCTACTATGTGTCTTAAGGAGTATGGATTTCTTGTCCACCATATTTGTACTTTTTCTTTATTTAGTTAAAGTTATGCTTCTTATCAAAAAGATTTAATTGGTTAATGAGACATTGAAAATATTAAAAGTTGTTTGATAACTGTTCCTGAATATTTGAATGAATATCTGGAAAGATAGGCTTCTTCTTTCCAGACATTATCAAACAGTGGAGTGCTTGGTGACATCAAATGATTCCAGCAGTGCAGATTGGTTCCATGACAGCGTATTTAGGCTGGCTTGCTGTTTTACAGCAACTGGAGCTTTTTTTCTCCATCAAAGTTTGACTAGGAAGTATCATTTTATACGTATGCTTCCAGGTGGAGTCAAGTTCACAATGATTCCATTCTGAGTTCACTAAGACAAAAATCCTTTGTTAAAGGATCATGTGTCTAAGGGTTGGTTCCTGCATGGGTTGATTTCAGAAATAGTTGTGACATGTGTCTAATGTGCTTTGAGCCCTCCATTTTTTGCATAGGCTTTACTCTCAGGTTTTTGCCAAGCACTCCGCTTTTTGCATAGGCTTTACCCTGAGGTTTTTGCCAAAGTCACTGCAATATTCCGGATTATTTTTGATTGCTCACTGCCTCATCGGTTGGGGTTTAGCTTTCACCCTATGCTTTTCCAATTTACATGCAATTCATGCAATTTGACTCAGGTTGCTACTTGGTTGGAACTGAAAGATAGGTTGATGCCGAATGGTCGCCTCATGGTGAATTGCGGTTCTGCCAATGATGGAACATCCAATTCTATTGGAGCAACTCATGCTGCAATTTCATCATCTGATGACACTTGGGAACAAAATTCTACCATCAAGGCATTATGCAAAGCATTCCCTGGACAAGTTGGCCTCCTTTTAGATTTCAATTTTCTTTGCCAAGCTTTAATATATTTAAGTTTGTGCCCACTTATTGCATCTCTCATGATGCTCTTGCATTTTTATTTAATTATAATTTATTCTTGCAATTCCTGTCAATCCCTCCTGTATCATAAAATCTTCAATTCAAACCAATTCTTTTATCAAGATGTTAACCAAACAGGAGTCCATGGTCATCTATGAGGCCTTTTTCACTTTTTCTTAGGTCTTGTACTGTATCTTTGAACTAATGAATGAGAAGCCTGAAGATCTATGGACAGAAATAAAGCTAACATAAGATGAAGCAGGGGGCATAATTCTTTCAGGGAAAGGTAATAAAGTAATGTTTTTTGACTGGTGAAGTCCTATCTGTAAGACCATTTACTGTTGAAGAATGGAATCAACAACACAGATGATCTGGAAACCAGCAACACCAGTGGAGATCAAGGGAAGGGTGAATAAATTTTGCTTCACCAATTAAGGAGGAAATTAATTATGGATACAAAACTAGGGAGCACGGATAGTCCGGCGAGGGCCGACGTGGCGGTGTCGGACACATGTCTGACATGGATACGCTTGGAACACGGCCGGACACGAGTCCGGAAGTGGACACATGTCCGACACTTCCGGACTCGTGTCCGACACTTCTACAAGTGTCATGAACAGAAAATAAAAAAAAAAATTCAGATACGGGAATAAGGGACTACAAAAAAAAGAAGAAAAAAACAGATCGTTAGATCGTCGACAGAGAGTAGAGAAGAAGAGGCGATATCGTATTTGCTTTGGATCTCCTTTCCTTCTTCTTCTTCTTTCTTCCTCTCTCTGGCTGCTTCTCAGTCATAGCCCTAGTTGGACTCTTTCTTCTTTTTCTTCTCTCTCTTCTCTCTCTCTCTCAATTGAATAGACTGAGCTTTGTTTGTTTAATTACTATTGTATCTCTTATTTATTAGTTATTAAATGAATTTACTCACAGGCCAAAGTCCACAACCCACAACCCACTTTGGTGTTAATCCACTGCCTAATTCTAACATATTAGCCCATTACTTAATTATTGTAAGATATTAACCAACTACTCAATGAATTTTAGGTCTCATTATTAATGTTATTTATATAAAAAATATCTAATATTATTTTAATTAGTTGTATCCTTGCCAAACCCGTGTCCTATATTTTGGAACTTTGTCGTATCTAAGTGTTCGTATCGTATTGGATATGACACTCGTGTCCGTATCCGTGCTTCCTAGATACAAACCTATGTTTGAGAAAGACTTGATGATAACAAAAAGACTATGGCGGCAATGTACAAATAACACTTACAGAACTCTAGTGGGTCCATTTAAATATGAGTTTACAATTTTTGTTTTAACAGAGGAGGCACTAGCATTTGGGTGTTGATTGGGTAGGATTGCTTCAGGACTGAAATCTATGAAATACCCCTTGACCATTTATTATTGGAAGTGGTCAAGGAGTGCCACTCAATTCGCGTTATGTTGAACCTCAATTCTTTAGTAGGTTTCTTTTCATTTTGTGTAGTTCAGTGACTTACAACAATAACCTATAGCATGATATGGTGTTTGGGTTGGCTACTGTGTACACATGAAGGCTCAGATCATATCTGGTTAATAAGCTACCGATTATAACGGATGCAGCTTGGTGTTAGGTGAATGTGATTGACAATGGAGAAGGTTCATGATGGTTGTGACTCGTAAAGGTGGTGGTGCCGGTTCAATAGGCTGCATAGTGCTTATGTTGTAAGGGCTTGAAGGTGGTTACCCTTGGACAGTAAGATGACAGTAAGATGGTGGTGGTACTTGGAGGTGTAGAAGTAGTTGTGGTGGTGATGGGTCTATTACCCGGGAGGGAGAGATGTGGCTGACGATGATAGATTTGGACGGGGGCAGCTAACCGTAAATTTGTCTTGGTAGTGGTGGAGGAGGATTGAATTGATTTGAATGTTGAATTATGATTTGACACGGTTAATATAGCGAGTTCAACTCAATAAATTGTTTATTAATGTTAAAATCGCTAAAAATTATAGATATCAAGTCATTATGTAAAAATACAAATATAACATATATTTTTTTATAAACTCGTATCTTTATCCGTGCTTCCTAGTGCCTTATCTTCCCATTTGCTCTTCCATTTTGATTGGACTTGTAGATCTATTGTGGTTCTTCGAGTATGTGTCAAAGTATGAGCATGCCCATGCACACATTAGACTACATGTTTGCAAATTTTCTTCAAAATAAATAGGACACTAAATCAAGCTACAATATGATCATCTGTTAGATTAAATTGTTTGTTGATGCTGAGCAGCAATTACTAATAATACTTTTAACCAATCATTTTCCATGCATGCATGAACTTCCTATCCAACGATTCTGATTATTTATGTATATGTAATCATGTACTGGGGTGCTAGTGCAGCGATAAGTTTATGTGCTTATGTTCTGATAGTGCGTTTAGTGCTTATTGATCTGGACAAAGCTCACAAGTTAACATCCACACAGTTAAGCTGGAAGAAATTACCAAAACGAGCTGGTGAAAATTATCTCACACTGACAGGATCTTTACCAGATTTGACAATGTGGGCCGCCGCTCTCCCTGATCAATTTAGCTCAAGTGTCAGGCAGTGGAGGACTTGTTGGCTTTCGTGATTTGTTTGAGGAAGGCTTTTTTTAAAAGGTGCCATGCTCATGCCCTCTGGTCATTTTGTTTGGAGATCAGCATACTAAACCACCATGAAGCAGGCAACAGCTAAGATAATGCATCATATTTTGTGGAAAATTACGGTAGTAATGCTTGAAAGCTAATTTTGCTATTATGGTTTCAATTATCTTCCCTTGCAGTGTCTCTGGAATGACTTGGGCAGAGTTTTAGATTTCTAGCTATTAAAGGTAGAAGGATGAATTATAGTTTGCACTATTTTGTAAGGCCTAAATCATAATGCTCAAGCTGCCAGTTTAGATTGTGCTCTCTTCGTTTCACATGGAGTCATCTCTTTTTTCTTTGATGCCTAGGATGATTGACATCTGAGATTAATGTTCTCTACTAGCTGTATCTGTAACTATGGTGTTAATCTCTCTCTCTCTCTCTCTCTCTCTCTCGTGATTGGCAGTTAATGGGCTTGACATTGCGAGGACATTGACTTCACAGAGGTACTCTACTTGTTGGTTATGCTCCTAGCAATATAGAACATTTATAACTTTCTTGACGCCTATGCTTCTATTGTTGTTGGTTGATAAGCTTAGAAGCAGTGTAACATTATATGTTATATGACTTGGGATATATTTTTTATGTCGTTCCCTTGCTCTCCATTCTAACCTTGGTGTCACTGGTTTGAATTGCGGAAAGAATTTTTCCTCATATAGGGGTAGTGCTGCGTACATTTGACCCTCCCCAACGACAGGCGTCTCATGCACTGAGGACTACCTTTTTCCCCTTATTCGTTATAGCATTCTTTAGCTTGCTCTTTCTTTACTCTGGAGACATCCTATGTTTTAGTTAAAGAGTAGGTTCAAAAATATATCTATACTACTTGGTGTATTTATATTTTATATTTTATTTGTCTTTGTTCATCTCCAACATTTGGATTATGAAAGTCTCTCAATCCTAATTCTTCAGGTCATGATTATCTCTGAACCTCTTGTTTTTCACGTTATCTCATTTTGGTACGCAGTTAAGGTCGATCAAAGTTAGAAAGCTGAATTGGTTAAATCAGGTGTTCCAACCTAAAAGAGCTGGCAAATTCTTGATGTCAGGATTATCTTTGCACTTTTTGTTTTCCACATTATCTCATAACCCAAGGGTTGATGCAATATTTACTTTTTACCACACTTTTTTTGGGAAGGACGAAGGATTACTAACTAGTATGTTCTTGAACCAGCAAAAAAAAAAAAAAGTAATGATCAAATTAAAAATTCGTGCATTTAATTTAGATGTTGGAGCTTATATTCTCAGGTCTAACTCTGATCAGGCTTTTGTCTATTGCTATGGAATACAGCGCAGGTTTGATTGGGGAGCTTATGTTGACCTGAGCTTGCTGAATGTGTTCTGACGCTCAGGCTCATTTTTAGGTTTGGGGAGACGCTCTGTCATGTGCACGCCGAAAAAATATTGTTAAGTGGTCCACTCATGTTATCAGTTCTCCAAATTTCTGCTCTCATTACCATAAGATTTTAGGCATTAAAGGCTTCAAACACAAATTTTGGTATGTACTCGTTGCTTTAATCAAGTATATATGGGATAAATTGCATAACCTGCCAGTGTGTGTCCTCTCCCTCCTTCATAGAATTTAACACACTTCCTCGCTATTTGGGGTTTCAGCCCGGAAGCAAGGATACTTCCCAGGGGGTGTTGTGGCAGTGTCAGATACGTGTCTGACACAAACATGACTAGAAGTATTTGAACTCAGTCAAACATGACTAGAATAAGTTTAAGATATGGTCAATATATAATTATACTGTCTATTAGAATAAAATTAAAAAATTAATATCTTCTAGCTTGAATTGGATAGTTTAATTTGATCGCTTAAATGATCAAATTAAATTCAAATAAATAGTATAATTGTATATTAATTATGATTTTTTAAGAAGAAATTAAATTATTATTTTTTATTTTATTTCAATAAATGTCATAATAGAACATTAATTTTGATTGAAAAATTTAAAATATTTAATATTTTATTTTTGATTGGAGTATTTTTGGTATAAAGTATAACATTTTAAACTTGAGGGGTCTAAGTGTTAAACACCTATAAACTTCAAGGGGTTAGGCTGTAATTTATTAACAGATATACGGACATTGACGGTAGGGGTTTAAGTATTACACGCGAACGAATTTCAAGGAGTCAGTGTAGTATTTTAAATATTAGAGATCTAAGTGATTAAATATCAAATTTCAAGGGGTTTGAGTGTAATTCTCCCAAATTCTAAAAAAAAATATAATTTTAATTATTTCTTTTTTTGATCTTTTTTTCCTATAGTTAGAATGAAGAATTATGAGAACATATAAAGTTTTTATAATCTCATAATAGAATATGAGTAATGAAAAATTAAGTTTGGTAACTTTGAAAAGATATTTAATTCAGATATTTATATAACTAATATTTTATTAATTTTTCTATACAAAAATTATTTAGGTGTAACACACGTGATGCATTGTTAATTATTTTAATAGTCGTATTTTTGTTATACCAGCCTTCCATATTTTTAAATTTTGTCATATCGTGTCCACACCCATGCTTCCTAGAAGGTTTCAGATTAGAGTTAGATCTTTTGTCAGTAAGCCCACGGTTAGGTCAATGAATGTAGCCGGTGTCAACATTTGAATATTCAAAGTGGCCAGTTATCCTTTGTAAAACCCCACTAAATTGATGAAGTTAAAGATGCCTTGAAAAATTGACTGATACACCTTGCACAATGCGAAAAGTCGTGTTTCCCAAGTAGCCATTTATGGTGGTTCAATAATGTAGGTTTGAGTTAGGGTTTTATTGCCCGTGGCACTTAATTAAGGGTGCAACGTGGGCAGGTTGGACAGGTTGAGAGGTCAATTGTAGTACAATTCTAAGTATATAATTTTCAATCCTAGCTTTAATCTTAACTCTATCTTAATCCGAGGTACTCAACCCGAGTACTGCTTGAGTATAATTCGGGTGGACTCGGGTTGAATTCGGGTTACTTAATTCAAACTGATTTCGAGTTAAAAATCAGATTGAGCTTATGTTACTTAATTCGGGTTGATTTTTTGAAGTGTAGATTTGATTTTTTCAAGTGTAAATCTGATTTTTTCAAGTGATTTGAGATAAAAAGCAAAACGCAAATAGAGAGAGAGGGAGTGAGAGAAGGAAGAGTGATGAGTGAGAGAGGGAGGTTGAGGGTTTGAGACGACTCAGACAAGTGACGATTGAGAGAGGGATTATGAGAAAAGGAAGAGTGACGAGTGAGAGAGGGATCTGAGAGTGATAGAGGTGCAAGGGTGAAGACTTGAAATGAAGTGGAAGTCTGAACTCTAAAGAGTGAAGATAAATATTAACCCTAATTAAATATATTTATATATATTTGGTTCAACCCGATTTTAATATTCGGGCTAAACCCGACCACTCGAGGTCTCAACCTGAGGCTTGTCCAAATTCAATTCGGGTTGAAATTTTTTTGCCCAAGCCCAATCTAAGTATTAAAAATTTTAACCCAATTCTTGTTTTTTTCGAGTTGGTTTGAGTTGAATTTGGGTTAGCTCGCCCAAGATGCACCCTTATACTTAATTGGTGGCGGAGGTTGTAACTATTTTGAGATTTGGGGTGGAGCTCTTAGATATCGAGGTACAAGATTTTATGCTTAGGGAGACAGATAATAGAGATTTTTGGTTAGAGAGAGTAAAAAGAAGGTGAGCAATGCACAGGTTGTTGATTGGATAACTATTGACGTTAAAAAATTGGATATAGGAATTTCTTATATTATTTTTGGGTATTTACTAGATTTTATTTATTAATTTAGAGGTTTTCTTTTAATTTTGTTGTAAAATTGTATAAGGAGACTTTGATTTTAGGGGAAATTTCATCCACATACGTTGTAATTAGGTATAAATTTAATGACACTCCATTCCAATTCAAAAATTTCACTGTCATCCCTTGTCAGTGTTTGTCGGGTTACGACGTTAACGACAATTGTTAATTTATAAAAATACTCTTAAATATTTTATAAGGTAAATTTTACCCACACCCGTTGTAAATAGACATAACTTCAACGACACTTCCCTATAAATATACCAATTTTTAACAATTCTCCTCCTGATTCTGAAATTTCAATACATTCTATTTTAGTTCTATTATATTAACCTTTAGGTTGATAAATTTAATATTTAATTTTATCAAATTAATGTCATTTATTTAATTTAAACTAAATTAACATTTCATCTTATCAAATCAACACAATTTGATATTTAATTTTATGAAATTAGCATTTAGTTATATTAATTTAATATTTTATTTCATCAAATTAATATCATTTCTTTAATTTAACATTAAATTATCATTTAATTTAATCAAATCAACACAAAATTTAATATATTAAATAGAATATTAAATTTTATTAATTTAACATTTAACCTTATCAAATTAATGTCAGTTATTTAATTTAACATCAAATGGACATTTAATTTTATTAAAGCAACATTTAAATTTATTCAATTAATATTAAATTTTATCAAATCAACATTGAATATAAATATCAAAATAACATCAAATTAATATTTAAATTTATCAGATCAAGACCAAATTTATTCAATTATTATTAAATTTTATCAAATAATATTTAAATTATATATTTAAAGGGTGATGTGTAAAAAGTGGTCAGGTGACATTGTGGTGGATAGATGATAGCATAGTAGTTAGAAATGAATGAGATTTTGACATAGACTTTATTGATTGTAATTTTTATTATATAAAAATTATAAAAACTCGATTATGTAACCAAATGAGTAATAATATGATTACTATTACTATAACAAAGTTATCATGCAACACTTTAAAATAATAAAATTCATTGGAATAGTATAATGATAGAAATCAAGCTTATGTCAAAATCTTTCTCCCCTGTGTCTCTACCACCACCAACAATTGAAGAAAACATCAATCCTACAATAATACGTCACAACATATTGACATAACAAAATGGAAGAAAAAATGTAAAACATATGCGAATGAACAAAATTAAAAAATCTCTACAAGAAAAAAAAATTAAAAATATCTGCATGAAAAAATTAAAAAAATACCTAAAAAAATTAAAAAAAATTGTACGAAAAATAATTAAAGCAATCTGCATGAAAAAGTTAAAAAAAAAAATGCATGAAATTTTTTTTAAAAATCTGCATGAAAAACATTTACAAATTTGCAAGAAAAAAAAAATATATTTTTTTACCAATTTAAGTAGTGATCGATTATTGTGGAGAACGAGTTGAAGAAGAATAAGTGGCTTCAATCCCCTATTTCTTCAAGCAACATCAAATCATTTTTTACCTTCAACAACAACAAAGGGTATGGTGTATATAGTGAGAAAATGGTTTATGACATTTTAATATATTTATATAAGAAAGAGTAGTTTTGACATTTTAGAAAATTTATAGCCAAATTGTTACCTTTTGTGTTTGCAGAATCAAAAATTACCGTTAAATGGGTGTTTTTGATTTAAAAATTTAAATTAGAAGGGGGTGCAGTGAAGTTTCAGAATCAGAAGGAGGGGCCATTAAATTTAAACATAATTAGAGGGGGTGTGAATAAAATTTTTCCTTGATTTTATGGTTTTTGGATCCTTGTACAATTTGGTAGTAAACTTTAGAGATTTTCTTAGGTTCATTGCATGATTGGAAGACTAAGTCATGGGCTGGGTAGGGCTTTTGACACTGGTAGGGAAAAGTCAGATGTTGTGAGCTAAAAAGGATGACAATTGTTGAATGTGGGAGATTCATAATAGTTGTTGATCGACTCATACAACGGTTACTCAAGAATAATTGCTCCAACTTTGGAAGACATTTCTGATTGGTGTCAGCATGTCCTAGCAATTGGGAATGTCAAGTGAATTATTGGCTGATTTAGTCAAAGCTAGTTGGTGACCGCATTACCTAGGCAGTTGAGTTGTAATTGTTATTGTAGGTTTAAATATTGACACTAGTGTCTGCAGTACCTCAAGAAAAAAATCGGAACATTTTGTAAAGGCCCCTAGTCAGACTCCTTGTATTTGCTGAGAAGTAAAAAATTAGGACATTGTGCTGCAAACTTGTGTCTACTTTGTGTTTGATATATTGTTTATGTGAGCTTTTTTTGTGTGTTTTACTGAGATTAAATGTAGGATCTCAGTGTCATCGCAAGACAAGATTCATTATGATATATTTAAGGGCAGCAATATTTTTGCCCACACAATATAACATCTGTTGTGACATTTGTAATTGTAGAAAAAATCTTGTCACTCAATTCAAATCTTGGTAGGAAATTTCTTATTTGATATTTTATTCTTTTCTTTCTTGTTGTATTTGTTTGGTGTTGTGTGCCACAATGTAACGCCTCAAAACTCACATTGGACGGCAGTACTATCTAAATACCATTCACACCACCATGAGAGCAACTAATAAAATCCATCAAATAAGAAAATTTCATTCATCATATGTAGTGTCTACAATATCTTCCCAAAATAATATGTCCAAAACATGACAATTACATTCAAAAGAATCAAATTTAACTTGTAGTGGAA